TCCCAGCACTTTGGCAGCCAGAGGCTGGCAGATCACTTGAGGTCAGGAGCTCGAGACCAGCCTGGACAACATAGTGAAACCCCATTTCTACTAAAAATACAAAAATTAGCCAGGCATGGTAGCGCACAGCTGTAGTCTCAGCTACTCAGGAGACTGAGGCAAGAGAATCGCTTGAAGCTGGGAGGTGGAGGTGGCAGTGAGCCGAGATTGTGCCACTGCACTCCAGCCTGGGATACAGGGCAAGATTGCGTCTAAAAAAAATGTTGAATATTTAAAGATCATTGTTTAAAATGACACAAAATTATTAGAAAGCCTGGGTTAACCACATGCCTCAGTTTAGCCTCAGCCCTCATTTGATCCAGAACCATTTATAAGAGCTAGAAAATGCACAGAACAATTTTAAGAGTGGTACTGAACTGCTCTTCAGGTTGTTTGTGCATGAAAAATATCCCCAGGTGGGCAGTGACCATAATTTTAAAAGCTTGGCCATATAGGAAAGAAGCACTAGGATTATTTCCCCAGTGTCAATCATATGTCAGACTGTGTAAACTTGACACTTTCAACCCACATTATTTAATCCTTATGACCGCACTGCAAGAGAAGTGATATACCCCTTTGGCAGACAGGAACTGAAGCTCAAAGGTAGTACCAAACTTGCCGAAGCTCACCCAGCCAATTTGTCACAGGCTGTCTGCTTGCACCCTGACTCAACACGCAGCTCATAGATGGGATTCAAAAAACACTAGTGTGACTTTAAGAGAACCAAAATCCTAGGGATCAAAAAGTTTTCCTGCCCTTTTCAGTGACTGACACACTAGATCGGGTGTGTTAAGTGTGGCCTGGCACAGAACAGCAAAGGACCTGTGACCTCTCCCAGGAGATAGGGCAAGGCTCCAAAGCCTACTTTCCCAAGCCCCCCTTAAGCCTTGCCAGTCTATTTTGACTTCACAAGTCTGACTGCAGTGAAAGTCTGAGTGATAATGAGCTGTGTGGCAGAATGAGAAAGCGTTCTGTTGTGTTGAACAGGCTCCTGATGAGAATAGCTTAACTCCCCTTGCAGAGTGGCGAGAGTGCACAGTGGCACTGTTTCTTGGAAAAATAACACCACCAATCCATTGCAGGGATGTAGGTGGGAATGGCACAGAATGTAAGAACATATTGGCACTGTCTATTTAAAATAGCAAAAGCAGTAGAAAGACATGAATGCAGTAATTCTAACCTTGTTAAACTAAAAACATTCCTCGGGGCCCCTTGAGAAACTTTTATTTTGCTGCACAAGGATGGAGGTGAACCAGCTTCTTCGAGGTCAGTTTCCTTTGGAGATTTTCCTGTTCCACGCTCCATCTCATTGGCACGTGAGAATAGTAGACGTAAAACTGAAGACGCCAAGTATAAATGTAGAGATTTGGAAATGAGCTCTATTTTTAAAAGGTCTTCCTTTGGGTAAACCCATTAGTACACCTTTGCCCCAGGAATGGCTCTCTTGACAATGGAAACAGATCTAGGGTTCCTGGGTTCACTCGGGTTCTGCCACTTACCTTGGGCAAGGAAACTCATTCATCTGTATGTGTTTCCCCATCTGTAAAATGGGAATAAGAAAATGATTTACCTATAAGGTTTTTGTAAACATAAAATGAGATAATTCACGTAAACTAGTGCAGTACCCGATACATACGAAACACTCATTTGTCTATTATTACCTTTAAAACCCTGTCATAAATGTGGATGAAGCTGTATGTTCACTGCAGCATTGTTTATAATAAAAAAACTAAAGCAATCTAAAAATCCAAAATTAGGCAAATGATTAAGCAAAATAGGCTACATATCCAGTTCTGAAAGATGATGAAATCAATGAAAATTCTTGCTATGAAATGATATAATAGTAATAACAGTTTTTTGGGTTTTTTTGTTTGTTTGAGGTGGAGTATTGCTCTGTCGCCCAGGCTGGAGTGCAATGGCGTGATCTCAGCTCACTGCAACCTCCACCTCCCAGGTTCAAGTAATTCTCCTGCTTCAGCTTCCTGAGTAGCTGAGATTACAGGCATGTGCCACCAAGCCCAGCTAATTTCTTCTTCTTTTTTTTTTTTTTTGTATTTTTAGTAGAGACGGGGTTTCACCATGTTGGTCAGGCTGGTCTTGAACTCCTGACCTCGTGATCCGCCCGCCTTGGCCTCCCAAAGTGCTGGGATTACAGGCATGAGACACCGCACCCGGCCGATATAATAGTATTTGTAAATACTTATAATAAGTAGGAAAAAGTATATAAAATTACATATGTGGCATATTTACAGCTGTATAATAAAAATAGGGAAATAAAAGATTGGAAGTATATTAAAATATGTTATGATAAATGAATGCTGGATAATTTTTAGCTTTCTCTATTTTCCAAAGGGTTTTATATAGCTGTATGATTTTTAAAGTGAAAATATTCAAAATATTTTTAAAAATTTAAATTGTTGCTTCTTGAGTATAATCTGCACTAAAACCCAATTATTGCACAATTGTTTTGACTTTTTTTTATTGCTATATTCAGAAAAGAGAACCAGAGGGAAATAAGTTAGGCCAAATACTTTTTTTCCCCAAATAATTTTGTAAATTGTTGATAGTTATTCCTATAAAAGCACAAATAAAAATGCTGGACATTTTCTTCTTTAGGATATACTTTCTAATATTTACACTCTATTTTCTCATCAACTTTCCTGTGGTTGCTACGAATATTCTAGCTGACCCTTGTGGTCAAAAAAGCCTGTAAGGCCAAAGAAGCTAAAAGTCAGTTTCCAGTTAGTAAGAGTGCTTGTGATGGACAGGATAAACTCGCTAAAACCAGAGTCTGTCCTAAAAAATGCTTTATTCTCAGTCTTTCCCTTCCACACCGTTCTCCACCTTCCCCCTACCCAGCACCTTTCATTCAATAAAACTTCTTCACTCTTGTCATAAGCCAGGGCTATGCTAGAAGCTAGGAACAGAAGTGGATGAGACTATGTCCCTGCCTGAAAGAGTTCAGTCCCAAGACCAGAGGTAAAGACAGTAAACACAATCACAACGCACCATAACAGGGGCCATGAAGGAATATCTGTGCTGTGGGGTCAAAGGAGGGCACCACTAATCATGCCGGTGGGACTAGGTCAATGGCACAAGGGAGGTGGGTGGCACCTGATGAAGGCTTGGAATAAGCAACTATTTGCCAGGTAGGAAAGGGGCTGGAGTAAGGGCATTCCAGGCCAAGGAACAGCAGGTACAAAAACACAGCTGCAAAAGCACCATGAGGGCATGTGTGTTGTGGGGGAGGCTGTGAAAATCACTAGCAGGGCTGATGTCAAGTGGGGTTCAGCTGGGGAGAGGGCCAATCAGGCGGAGTCAGCATGTGAAGAGTCCATGCTAAAGCATCTGGCGTGAATCTTACAGGATAATAGTCAGTGGAAGTTTTGGAGCATCGAGACACATGCTCAGATTTTATTTTGGGAAGATAATGCTGGTACAGTGTGGAGGATGAGCTCATTTGAGGGGTGTAAGCAGTGGCAGGGATACAAATGAGGAGGTGGCTGCTGTAGTCTGATGACTGCTAAGTAGGTCTTTTTAGGACCTTGCAGTGCGAAGAGAGGTGAGGAACCAGATCAGGGAGTTGTGAGAAAGGCAGGGGTGACAGTTCTGCTGACCTGTTGGATCTGGGGGGTGCAAGAAATCAAGGCTGCATGAATGAACAGATGGCTGTGGCCATGCCATTAACTAAGTTAGGAAATTTCAGAAAATAGGTTTGGTGGTAGGATGAGGAAAGATAATGAAATCAGTTTGGGATGGCTTGTGTCAATTCAATATGTCTGGGAGCATTTAGGCAGCTGGTTAGAGAGAGGTCTAGTCCTTAGAAAATAGTTTAAGGCTGGACATACTGAGGTGACAGCACAATAGTGGGGACACTCTAGAAATGGATGAGGTCACACCACTGACCTAGAGGACAGAACTCTTGGGAATCATTACACTTCAAGACACTCGATCCTCAAAATTAGATTTGACGGAGAGTTATGTGAGGGATTATTGAGGTTCTAAACCACGTGAATAGTGTTTTCTTTTCTGTCCATGCCTGATGAATTTTTAGTTCAAGTTTGTTTTATTTGTTTTTGCTGACTCTAGAAATGCAGTGGTATAGAGGGAATGGGAGCCTTCGGAATCAGATAAGAGCTGGCTGCTGTTCCAGCTCCCTGATTTAGGATGAAGCAGTTAAACTTCTCTGGCCCTGGTTTCCCGCACTACAGAAGAGGTAGAATGGCGTCTAACACTCAGAGAGTTGTTAGGTTTATAATCTGTTATTTGTCTGGTTGGTAACATAAAAGACTGTTAACCTCAGTCCTATAGAATATTTTAATATTCTATATGCTAAACCAAAAGGTTTATCTTGGTAAAGACACATCATCTAAAAAACTTGAAATCATTAGGTCCTGACTAGTGTATTTTAAACTGAAAATATCTGTTGATTAATGTTTGAGCTGGCTCTGGCATTTCAATTATTAAAAAGTAGACTAGCCTGTAATCTCAGCACTTTGGGAGGCCAAGGCGGGCAGAACACGAGGTCAGGAGATCGAGACTATCCTGGCTAACATGGTGAAACACCATCTCTACTAAAAAAAATACAAGAAATTAGCCGGGCGAGGTGGCGGGCGCCTGTAGTCCCAGCTACTCGGAAGGCTGAGGCAGGAGAATGGCGTGAACCCGGGAGGCGGAACTTGCAGCGAGCCGAGATTGCGCCACTGCACTCCAGCTGGGCGACAAAGCGAGACTCCGTCTCAAAAAAAAAAAAAGTAGACTAGAAAATACTCCGTCTCAAAAAAAAAAAAAAAAAAAAAAGTAGACTAGAAAGTGCTAAGTGACAGGGCATATTTGTTTTTCTTTCCATTCGGACTTTTTTTTTTTTTTTTTAAAGACTAGTATACAAATTACAAATGCTGGATGAGCTCAAACTCTCAAATATGCATTATTATTTTCACAGTCATCTAATTTAGAGACAGTGGAACAAATCCAAGTAACAACTTTATTGTAGTATACAGCACAATTTTTACATACATATTAGTGGTTTTGACAGTGTTACTTTTGAGCAGACCTTAGATGAATCCACAAAGTTAATATATTAAAAATAAAATATACACAGTAAAACAACAGGCAACCAGATGTTCAGAATCATGCAGATAGGAGTGGTCTGGTTGGTGTTATCACTGGGTACCTTGCCTATTTAACTCACCAGCAAATACCACTTCTTCTGTTTCTCGTTCCCATATAATTCATCAAAATCAGAGTTCTAAACATACACAAAATAAACCTCTTTTAAAGCCCCATCAGTAAAAAATTTCAATTAATAAGCTTATCATCAAACCAAGAATTCCGCTGACCATTTGCTCAGCCGATTACTAGAAAACAGGTAATACCAGCACCCGATCTAAAGGCAAGCCTATTTCATGTATTAAAACACCAACAAGAGGGATTAACCGACAAAGCAACTATTAACAACATATTAATCTTAATATAAGACACTGAGAGAAAAGTAAAAATAATACATAAATATCACTCCACTGAGCCAGGATATAACTCATGGACTACCAGATACATGAGTTTTCTACCTGTCAAACAATGCTTTAAATATTTTTCTAGGAAAAAAAAACCACACACACACACAATATATATTGGAAGATGCAAAGGAAAGGCAGAAATGTGAACGTATGCATCTAGTTCCACAATTTAAAATAAATATCAAACTGACAATATCAAGCTAAGTGACAATGACTTAACCACTGGGCACCAAACAGGCAATACAACTGTTCACTGTAATACATAAAGCTCTTCAGGAGTTTCCAGCAGATGGCCATCCCAACAATATTGTCATAATACAGATCAAATACTCATCCACTGTGGAAAGAGACCCTGAAGAGAATGTGGCAAAGGCATAGAGAAAAAGTTGGATCTTTTGAAAAAGTTAATGATATCAAAATACTTTTCCATCACTGGTAAACCAAGCTAGGTCAAGTATGTGTCCCAAAGCAGCACTGAATTCAGAGTAAGAGGTTGGCAGAAAAGTTTGGAAAACTTCAGTTTTTAAAAATTGGCAATTTCTCCATGCTTAATAAAACTATCAGAAGAGGTATAATGTTTGTTCGTTTGTGGAATGTTAACTGCTTGCTGCAAAAATTCACAACATGAATGAGGACCCGCAGAGATGCGTATCAATGAAATATTTTTTAAAAAATTTACAAAAAACTAAAGTTTCTATTTAAAAAAGAACCATGTTATGCCAAGATGAAACATAGTAAAAAGTAGTGTAAGTTCTGTCCATGATTCTTTACCTAGTGAATGGGAAAGTGATAGAAACAATTTTCTTCTTAAAAAGGAAGCTTTGTTATTGCACTGACTTTTACAACCTGACATAGTAATTTAGAAAAATCATGTAGTAAAATCTGTAAAATTAAAATACAAAATTCTGGTTTGTAAACATCAGTTGGCCAAGTCTATTCAGAGTCCTTCATGATAGTGGAATGGAATGAATAATTAATTCACTACCTTATTTATTTGCTGTGAGGGGGAAAATTCCAGAACACAGCCTTTATACTTTCACAGTAATTATATTCAAAATATATAAAGAAAGTCAGTGCAGTTATCTTATTTTTTTTCTTTCCCTGTGCAATGTTCAGCTCTCACCCCACTCCCAAGTGCCATAATTGAAATAATACTGGTTTGGAGACTTAGTACAGATTGGTCATAAATGCCGCATAAAGTCTGTAGGACTTCGGTAAAGGTATTTCCAAATGGCGTAGTAATGCACTGCAGCTGCCGTGGCCACAAACAGGTGCCAGATGGCGTGGGCAAATGGAATGATGCCATCACTCTTGAAGAACACAACTCCCAGGCAATAAATTAAGCCCCCACAGGCAAGTTCCTGAAGTCCATCAGTGTTGTTCTGTCAAAAGAGGAAAAAAATAAATAAAAAGGGTTTGATGTTACTCTGCATGGCAAGCTACAGATAACTGTAATTCTCTCTAAGGCTCTTGATTTTCTAGACAATGAAGAAGCTGTGTGAACACAATCCTGATCTGTAAACATGAACCAAACATAAAAAAAGTCTCTCATACATCGACCTGGACTGCCCTTTGGACTGACAATCTTGAGTTGAGCAAGCAATCACATTACAGGTGCCAAATGAAAAAGCAGAACATTCTGCTCATTTACAGCATATTTAAGTAAACTGCAATCATAGCCAGACACAGAAGTTCATTTTAATAAAGTGCAATCCTCTGTTCTCATCTTCCCCTTTAAATGCTTTCTTCCCTACTAAGGCAGGCCCAAGCCGCTCTATTTATAATTTACATCTCAGCCAGGGTATTCACTTCCCTTTGTCCTTCTCAAACACTGTTCTACACTGATTGCTTCTTTGAGACTTCCCCTGCTTATGTGAGCTTACAGATTCCTTAAGGCTGACGCAAGAAAAGAGTAACTAGAAGTGACCTCTGAGATCATAGATCACTTAGTACAAGATATTTCCTAGCCTTCTAGATGTCTCCAGGCCTTTTTGTCTTTGAGCCTGGCCATTGCTTATCTTAGCAATAAGTTAATATTCTTGTGTGTCTCAGGGCAGAAGGGAGAATATTTTAGGCCGTTCTTGGTTTTCAAAGATCAAGGCGCATCTACAAGATTAAAATGGCTTGTATGAATGAGGAGAGAGAATACAGGCAATGCTTAGAAGCTGCTGAAGAAGCAAGTCAGTCCCCTGGATTTCTGAGGACTAGGAATAGAAAGGAGACAAGTTCTTCAGAGTGAGTGGAAACCTAAGGCAGATCATGGCAGGGCCTTGGAAGGGGATAGGTGTGTGGGTGTCCCAGAGGCCTAAGCACTGAGCAGCAGTCTTGTGGGCCCCACAAGAGTAAAGGGAAGCTCTAACTCAGGCACCTAATTAGAATAGGCCCCAAGGGCCTCGGCTAAAAGCAAGGCAACAATCGACCATCATGAGCTAAGGACCAGGTGTGAGGATCTAGGACCAGTTGTGAGCATCAGTCCTTTTTCAAAGTTCACAGAAGCCCCCATGTTTTGTGTGGGATCAAAAGATGGGGGGCTGGGCACGGTGGCTCATGCCTGTAGTCCCAGTACTTTAGGAGGCCGAGGCGGGCGGATCACGAGGTCAGGAGATCGAGACCATCCTGGCTAACACGGTGAAACCCCGTCTCTACTTAAAATACAAAAATTAATCGGGCGTGGTGGCAGGCGCCTGTAGTCCCAGCTACTCGGGAGGCTGAGGCAGGAGAATGGCATAAACCTGGGAGGCGGAGCTTGCAGTAAGCTGAGATCACACCACTGCACTCCAGCCTGGGTGACAGAGCGAGACTCCATCTCAAAAAAAAAAAAAAAAAAGGTAAGGAGCCAATCCGAATGGACTGACATCAGATTTCTTCCTAACCTTGGTAAGGAAACACTTCAGCCAGATTTAT